CTAATATGAGTTAGAGTTAATGTTGTACAGATGTTGGGTTTAGCAGCAGCTTAAGGGCACAACCGCACAACTCCCTCTTGGCGAGGAGAACCCCATTCCTCTCTGATTGCAGAACATGCACGAGAGCCTGTTTGTTTGTGTGTTAGTTTGTTTGTTTCACTCAATTTCTACGACTGCCCATCTCATTATAGTGGGACTGACTACTGTGTTGAGCACAGTAACTCCTCCAGGAATTCTTTGCGGCTAAAAGGAAGAAGACAGTATGTTTCCTGGGAGGTACAAAAAGCCCCAACTCACTGACCTGAGTCACCATCAGGCATTCTGTACTTCATTTGAACAGACGGGAGGATAAAGGCGTATTCACTGCATGTGCCTTTGTTTGCAGAAGCCTTTGGCCATTCCTGTTCTCTTTTTCTCTGCTTGCTGTTGACAATATGAAACCTAGACAGCTTGTTAACATGTCGGTTTTAAGTAATTTCTGCTCTTGCAGTGATGTCTGAGTTTCACAGGACACGCAAGGTGTCTAATGAAACAGTTTTCTTGCTTGGAACATACTTCTGAAAGTTCTGTGGTTTTTCAGTAGCAAAAGGCAACAGCTACGTGTTGTATTTCATTTCAGTATCACCTTTCATCCTGAAAGGTTTTGGGTTGGTTTGCAGCCTAAATATAGACTCCATCTCAAAGGTGAAGGGTATTCTCTGCTGCCTCTGAGGAATTAACCAGTTAGGCCACAGCAGCCAGGTAAGCCAGAAGGAGGTGCTGGCTACCAAAATGGGACTCCTCCTGAGGCAAGGCTTCTTGAAAGGTTAAGCAGACTGTTCTGCTGACCACCTTGGACAGAAGTCTTCCTTAACGGGGACTGATTCCACAGTATGCTCTTTATGCATTTGCTTCATTTTCCGGGGAAGGGGCCGTTTTGTCAAGAGTTGGCGTTCGTAATTGTCTTAAAGGAGAGGTGGATTTTTAGAGACTGGAGGGGCAGGAGCTCTTCGATGGTTGTTTCTCCTTTCCTTGCCTCCCCCAGCTGGCAGGATCCTGGCAAAATGCTCTGCTCTGCTTTCTGACCACTGATCTGCCACTTGGGAAAGATAGGTCCTCTCTGTTTTTCTGGTTCCACCAACAGCAGAAGGAAAATGCTTGCCTGGGATGGCCCTTGTCCATTACACTTCCCCACAGTGGGAATGGAGCCTGGCTGAGGCAGAAGGTCCAGAGGGACCAGCATGGGCCAGAGGTTCCATTCAAGTTTTGCAGGATGGCAGATGTGGGGTATAGGGGAAATGAGTTGGGGTGTTGAGTTGCTTATGTGTCAGACTTACCAGAAGAACAGCAGCTGGGTCTATGTTTTGCAGGAAAACCAACAGCTTTGAAGCACCTTAAAAGCTAACAGATAAATTATTCTGTAAGCTTGTAAGTGGTTCACAGTCAGGCAGATTTAGGGAGCTCTTTTTTTCTGTGATGCTTCTTGTATGACGAATTTGCAGAATGCATCATGTATCCTGAAGGAACACCGTGCAACTGCAGGACAAGCAGAGTCACTCCCTGCCCTGAGGCCCTGAATCTTAACGGCCTAGTAACGTACTCTTCCTGGAAGGAAACAAGCTGTGTAACAACCTTGAGAAGTTCTCTGTGCATTTTGCAGGACGTTGGGTGCTGCCTCCTGTCAGAAATCTTTGCAGCTAATAGCAAGGCCTTTTGTCTGAGTGCTGAAAATGTTCACTTTGGATCAAGGTAGTGCAAGCAAAGTGCTGGGCTCTACCAAATGCCTTCTGACTGTGCTCCATCTGTATAAGCAGTTAAGCTTCAGAGAGAGCTAGCGAATAAAATCTTACTAGCACTCTCTGCAGGCCGGGCTCTCTTTTCTTCTGGACACCTTCCAGCCAATCAATAAAACAATTGGAGTGTTGCTGGCAAGACTCCACTTCAGGTTTATGTTGCTGCTGCCTTCTCCAAATCTTATTTGGAAGCTCTTCTAATTAGAGGGCAGCTGTTAATTGGGATTGTGGTAACTGTATGTGAAAAAGCCACCCTTTTTTTAAATCAGCCCACTCTCTGCTGTGTTCTGGATTTGGGGCGAGATTTGGGGGCTGTTTTAATGGTGCCTGAAACTTCACATGGGAAATCAGAAGGCCAAGCAAGGCCACCTCTGGCTTTTTCCAGTTTTCCAGCTGTGGCTTCTTAGATGTGGTTGATGTGTGGATTTTTCACTATGCTCTTGAGGCTGTCGATCATATTCGCTTCCCTGATTCCTGAGCTGTGCTCTCAAAATGGCTGCTTGCTTCTCTGCCTCCTGCATTGTTAATGTGGCTGATTCTAAACAGGAGGAGCAGGAAGCTTTGGGGTCTCGCAGGCAGGGGGTGTGTTGGTTCCAGCTGCATCCCCAGCTGGTTCTCAGTGACTTGCAACTGAGTTAAGATGAAGTTGGCTTTGCCGTCCAACTGCCTTGGTACGTGTGCTCGGCTTCCTCCTAGGCAGCACCAGTTGGTTGAAGCCCTTCGTAGCCAACTTCTGCCTGATTATCTCTCAGGCCCATCTCCTGCCTGCCTTTGCAACTAGCATTCATTTATATATTTATTTTTATTTGGTTTTGTGCTGCCTGACTCCAAGTGACTCTGGGTGGCTCACAATACAACACAAACCAAACTGGAACAGAAGAAAAAATAGAACAAGTTGACGAATCTGGCAGATACCCCAAAACATCCCACCAAATCGAACATCCAGCAGAGGGGGCTCCAGCCACCCTGGCCCTAGAGCTTAGAAGTATAGGTGGCATGGCAAACAGAAGCGAACGTTGAACCAAATCCTTTGAGCCAATAGAAGCGAATGTGTGCAGCTCGGGGTTGAACTGTGGAGTCTGTGGGGTTCTCTGAGCTTGGCTGTTTTCTTGCAGACGTTTCATTACCCGGCCAGGTAGCATCTTCAGGACCCTTGAGCCATTTGGAGTGGAGGGTGACGAGGTGGCAAATGGGTGTGGGATAGTGTTCCAAAAGAGGAAAGCCTCCCCTCCCCTGTTTTAATCATAAGGAAACCCCTATTTCTGTGGCAGGCCAGCCCCCATCAAGTCCAGCATTCTTGGTCATGCGCCAGCCAGCCCACTGTATTCAGGATCTCCCATTTGCTTCCGGCCCCAGTGGCTTCCTAGCAGCCTTTTGAAAGCATGTGCTTCCAAGGGTAGAAAACAACCCATGACTGTTTGCAATTAAGAGCCTCTCCTCCATGGATTCCCGGTGACTGCATCCTAGATTGCCAGGCAATTTTTCTTCCATTTACAGGTCTTGCCAGGGGCCCTTTCGTCCAAATGTGTCTAAAACCACCCAAGATGGGGCTGTCCTCACATCTGATAGCAACTGATTCCACAGTTGTAACTATGCAGTTATCTATTGAGAGGGTGAAAGGCAGTGGATGTATTCGAAGACCCTTCTCTCAAAGAGGGAGAGAGAGTTAACTTGTGGCCTTATAATTACTGCTGTGCTGCTTTATGGCTGTTTCAGATAACCCTTCAATAAGTGTAATCATGTTTAGCCTTTTTGTAGCACTTTGGTGTATTCAACAGTGCTTCACGTATGTTGTCTCTGTAATTTATATAATGTCAGCAATTCTGCATGGTCAGCTGGTATGACAATTCCCAAACTGCAGATGTGGAAGATGCTGAGAATGGGCTACCCAAGGACCAGGGATGGTGCATGGTGGCCCTCTCTGATCTTTAAGAATGGAAGCAGTACACTGGGGAACTACATGTGGGAACTACAAAACCAATATCACAATCAGTATGGTTATCTTTGAGACACCTGAAGACTCTGGTTGTAGAGTTTGCCCCAGACCTACACAGTTAGCTTGCTGTTCTAGACAGAAAGACTCAAAATATATTTCTTGGTGTTTCTGAATCGCAAGCACTCCCTGAACAGGATAGAGAACTAGGCTGCCAACTCAGCATGGAGCAAAAAGCTGCAGAATTCTGTGGGGGGAGAGAGCAGTCAAGCCATATTGTGACTCAAGATGGCTTTCAGGCCTCGGGATCCACCTTTTAATGTAAACTATATTTTATATTATATTATATTATATTAAAACTATATAGTTTTAATATGAACTATATTTATTTTTATTATTTCTAAGAGTAAGATGGCCTTTAAAAGATTGAAACCAGAATAAAAATGCTAGAAATACTTTAAAAGGCCAACTTTAAACAAAACTCTTTTCACATCTTTCCTGAAAGCCATGAGAGTGGGAACCAGTGGTCACTTAAGTCTACAGTTTGGGGCCGGCACAGGAGAATGTCCTTTTCCATGTGTTTGTCAAACTCTTTCAAAGTTTTGTGGTTAAAATCAATGCTTTGAATTTGAATAAAAGCTCCAAATAATTGACAGTTACAGCAGGTGTGTGGAATCTCTTTACAGCAGGAACAGCCTCTGGCCTAAGCTTCTAGATCAGGCCCACACAGCTCATAGAGGGGAAAGAGCCACATTAATAAATTAAAAATCATTGCGGGCCACAAATGAATGTCTGGTATGCCAATCAGCTGTTTGGTGGCTAGCTGAACAGCGACAGCGCTGGAGCTGCCGGTGGAAGCGAGGTTTGGAGGCACTTGGCAGCGCATCTTTTGGGGTGGTGGCAACAAATTTATTCCTTTTTTAAAAACGCCAGTGGCCTGCCTACTGTGCAGGCCTATTCTAGGCAGCTCCTGGATGAAAAAATCAGCCACTGCTCAGAGGTGTTGCTGTGTGACCTTGGAGTAAAAGGACAGTGGTCGGATGCCTTTAGTCACTAACAAGAGGTGTAAGGTGACCGGTCCCGGGACACAGTTGCTCATTGATCACACGGTGCTTGGGAGAGAACTCTGAAAAAGCGGCAGATGGGAGGGACTCTTAGGCTGAACGGAGAAAGGAGTCCAGGCCCGTGAGAGTTGCTGCTGGGAGGGACAGCTAGATGGAGAGAATTCCCATGTCAGAGGCAAAGGGATGCCAATACTGAACTACCTGAAGTTTGACAATCAAAGCAGAACTTAGAAGAAGTCAGGCACCCTCCAGTTCCTACAGGCAAAAGGGCTTGCTGTGCTGATCATCTGGGGTGTGTTTAATTGCAATGTACCTTGTAATGATTCCAGCTCTTGGCCCCAGAACGTGTGTAGCTCATATGTGCTTCTTGTCTCCTCCCACAGCAACCCTCCTTTGAGCGAGGAGATGCTGCCTCCAGGGGAGTGGATGTGCCATCGCTGCACTGTGCGCCGGAAGGTAAAGAGATTTCCAGCCTCCTGGGCATCCAGACACACACACACACACACAAACACATATGCGTGCGCACACGCACCCTTTCTTCCTCTCTGGAAACCACAGAATGGATCCCAACAGCTGTAGGAAATAAGATTTGAAAAAACACAGCTGGTACTTTTGCAGCAGACAAAAATATCTTTGAATGGACAGCACATTTTTGCACCTCTGTCTTAAGGGGGAAAGTGCATCATAAATCTAAGAAAAGCTAGATAAACTACCCCCCAAAGAGTAACTTACTGGACTGAAGTGTAACATTTGAATAACCCCTTCATTAGTCTAGGGCGGCTGTGGCAGCTTAAGTCAGGAAGGCCACGTTCGCTGCCTTCTTGAGCAAATTGCAGCTGTGGATGGGGCATGCCGGCGATGCTGGCACTGGCCTCGTCTCCTTCCAGGCTGGCTGCCTGGGTTGCCAAGCCCCCAGTTCCTTCCGGCAAGCTCAAAAAGCATGGAATGACCTCCCATTGTTTCCATAGCAGCAGCAGCAGGAAAGGATGAGTTATGTCTGTTTCCTTCGTTGGTGGGAAATGAAATGAGGGGAAGCGATTGGGCTGGGCTCCAACTTGTCATCAGAGAGGCCTGCCCTTTCCTGCAGCCAGCCCAGCTGAATGCAAATATTGGCTCCCAGGGCTGCCAGCCTAAAGGGAAAGGAGCAGCAGCAGGGCCAGGAGCCTTCTGCAAGTTGAGATACGAGATACCAGGGATTCTCCTCCAGCCTGGGGATCTGGGGGATAGAGTTTCCAGCTGCTGCTGCTGCTTTCAAAATGGATCAGTCCCCAAACCAGCATGTTAGTGATTTACTGATTTTAAAAGTGTTAAGGAGGGATGGGTGAGAAGAGGAGCTCTTTTGCTCAGTCCCAGGTCCTTGACATCTCCAGCTGAAAATGATCTGGTACCAGCTGATGGGCCCTGAGGCATTGGAAAGCCCAGCTTAAGGGCTGCACAGCCTTCCTGGGCTCCCCAGACATGACCTTTTGACCTGCCCTTTCCTTTCTCAATTTGGGCAGTTGACATGGAGCATCTAAGCTGTTTAACTGAAAAGCAGTTGTCCTTCTGTCTGAAATGCACCAGCCTTGCCCCAAGCTGCCTCCTGCTCTGACACCTTGATGCTGCCAGCTGCTTCCTTTAATATGTCCCTGGTGTATATGGCACTCAACAGGGCCAAATGGAGTTCCTTTCTCCCTACCCCAGACTTCTCTAACCAGAAAGCCTCTTGTTTTGAGTTGCCTTTTTTTACCCTCAGCAGCCCGGTGAACTGTTGGCATTCTCTTATTAATGAGAATTTGTGTTGATAGGACAAGCGAACAAGAACCTGGCTTGAAGCTAAGGATGCTCAGTTCCATTAGCTCTTCCTTGCCTGGTGCCTTTTTTTCCAAGAGTGGTATCATCTGGTTTACATTCTGAAAAGAAGGCGATAGAATCTGGGGGAGGTTCTTTGTTAAGAATCGGGATGGCCACGGTCCTTCCCCTCCAGGCTCTGTGATTGTGACATACTTTATAGGGGCTCCCCTTAAGTATGGCTCAGTAGTTTCAAAAGATACAGCCAGAATTTCGCAGAAGCCGGCAAGCGGCAGCCGTTTTCCCCAGCATGGTGCCCTCCAAATGTGTTGGGGCCGCAATTCCCAGAAAGTCTAGCCAAGAAAACATATAGTCCTAACATATCTGGAGGGAAGCAGGATTACAGTAGCCCTTCCTAAGTAGCCCAGAAACCCATTAGCCTCTTTCCTGTTGTTCCTCTTTCCCCCAAACCAGTGTGACTGTGATGCTCTGCATTTGGAACAGCCTGCCGGGCGGTTCCTTAGCCGCTATCTCTGCCTGCTTTTACACAGTTTTGATTGCTAAGTTGTAATTTTTAAACACATTTTAAAACATTTTTGTTAAACGTGCTGTTTTTTGTCAGTTACTTTAGTAGAAGGGCAAGGCAGTATCCAGAGAAAAGCTGTGCCATGAAACAGCCACCACGATGACTCCTTTGGGCTTCCAGGGAAGAGATCTCCCCCCCATTCTCTGACTGCCCAGGGACTTCCATGGGGAGGCTGATGGCTCATTTGTGCCTTGCAGAAGAGAGAGCAGAAGAAGGAGCTCGGACACATGAACGGTTTGGTTGACAAATCTGGGAAGAGGACCTCGTCTCCCACCAGTGATGCCGACTACTTGGACCGGGCGGGCGGTGGAAGCCTCCGAACGCTTCCCCACGCTCGGCTCTTGGAGCGCAGAGCAAGCCGGCCCGGCACCCCGACATCCAATACGAGCACTGAAACCCCCAACTCGGAGCAGAACGACATGGACGAGGACATAATTGACGTGGATGATGACTCTGCCCCTGGGGCAGAAGCTGAGGGCGGGCAGCCCCACCTGAAGCGGCCCTTTGAGTTGCTCATCGCTGCCGCCATGGAGAGGAATCCCACCCAGTTCCAGCTGCCCAACGAGCTCACCTGCACTACGGCCCTGCCAGGTGAGCAGCGGCACGACACTTGGTGTGCTGCGCGGGGCTTCTGGAGGCCCTTGGGAGGGGCAGCGCCAGCCCTGCAAGGAAGGAATGTCCTGGGCAGGTGGCCTGGGTTGTTGTCTGTCTTGCTTCTGCTTTGCTTCTGGCATTACCTGGACTAGGAACACAGTCTGGAGGTTGAGCCCAAGCAAGGTGGTCTTCTCCCTTGGGTGTGGGCGTGCACAGGTTTCCCTCTTCAGGCCCCCAACACCTACCTAGCCCTACTTCCTGTTCTGCTCTGCCAGGTACTAGTAAGAGGAGAAGAAAGGAGGAGACCTCTGGGAAGAATGTCAAGAAAGCACAGCATGAGCTGGACCACAATGGGTTGGTTCCCTTGCCGGTGAAAGTCTGCTTCACGTGCAGCAGGTATCAGCTTGGCTTGTGGTGGGGGTCTCCACCGTCTCTGGACCAGAATGGAAGGGGCTGCAAGGGCTGGGGATCTTGTATCTGCACATGGGAACAGAAGGTTTGCCCCCTATTTCAGAAGCTCAACAGAGCCCCCCTTAATCCCTCCCCTCCCAAGTGATGCCCTGCCTAGACCCGAGCTTAACGTTCCCTCCTTGCTGGCCTGGCCCTGTCGAGTCCTCGGGCGGAATTCCTCCTCTTCTGCTTCCCCATGGTTGGGCTTTGCGGGTCACAGGTGAAGGTACTTCTCAGGTTGCAAGGGGATCCTCCTAAGGGAGCTTGCAGTCGTGTTGAGGTTCAGTTCCCAGTGGCACCTCTTCAGGAGGAGCCGGAGGTGACGGGCTGGAAAGTGTGGACAGTCACAGGGGGCGGTCCTGGACTAGGTGGACCAGGCGTAAGGACATTTCTTCTGTGCTCCTCTGTGGAGTAAGAATTCCGGCCTTCCCTTCCAGGAGTTGCCGAGTAGCCCCTCTCATCCAATGTGACTACTGCCCTCTCCTGTTCCACATGGACTGCCTGGAGCCCCCCCTCACAGCGATGCCGCTGGGCAGGTGGATGTGCCCGAATCACATTGAGCATGTGGTGGTAAGCCGGGGCCTCGCCTCTTGGCCGGGGGGGTGGGATGGCCCATAGGTCTCCCTTAGGATGGTCTGTCTCTTTCAGCTGAACCAGAAGAACATGACTCTGAGCAACCGGTGCCAGGTGTTTGACCGCTTCCAGGACACCATCTCACAGCACGTGGTGAAAGTGGATTTCTTAAACCGGATCCATAAGAAACACCCACCCAACCGCCGAGTGGTCCAGTCAGTGAAGAGGAAGGGGCTGAAGGTAGGTGACAGGGCACGAGGCGGCCCCTTGTGGCTTTCTGGTCCACTCGCTCTGGAGCTTGTAGTGCTGGGATTCTGCCAGGAGGGGGCAGCCTTGCTGCTTGGAAGGGCAGCTTCCGGATGGCTCCAAGGACCAGGCCGCCTTCTCTGCTGCCCGCAGGTCCCAGATGCCATCAAATCCCAGTATCGGATCCCACCAGCATTGATGGCGCCTGCAGCCATCCGAGACGGGGAGCTAATCTGCAACGGAGTTTCCGAGGAGCCTTTACACAAGCACCCTGGCAACGCTTCCCAGCACTTAGCTGCCCAGTCGGAACAGCAAGAGGTAATGGCTGACAAGCCTCTCTTGGGAGGGTGGCCATCTTGCCAGGCTGCATCAAATGCCCCTCCTCTGGTTCGGAAAGCAGCTGAGTTGGGAGAGGGCTGTGCAACAGAGAACTTCTATCCAGCCAAAGCCAGGCTCTCCCAGGGCTGCTCAGAAAATCAATGTGGCAGATTAGTCCTGCTCCTTCGCGGAGGGTCAATTCGGGTTGCCTTGTATCAAGGGCTCGGCAAGGAACCTCCGGCAGATTCGGCTCCTCTGCCCCACGGAGCTTCCTTAGTCGTGCTTTGAGGGGCTGCTAGAAGGAAGAGTGTGAATTTGGAAGGATAAGACATAACCAGGTCAGCAGCTGGAAACAGATTTCAAAGGGCTGGTGAGTCGAAATGCCTTTGCTTGGTGCCAAAACATCTGGAGCAGGAAATGCATCATTGACATACTGCTTCCTAGCAGATCCCCCTCTGGCCAAGGAGGACTCTCGTACATTCATTGGAGAGAAAAGGGTTCCCATTTTATACGTGTTTGGTAGATGTGACAGTTGCCGAGATGCTTCCAGTAGGGCTCCTCCTTCAGTGAGGTCTTCTTTGAAAAGAGGATTAGGGTTCTCCCGGGAGGAGCAGCCCTGCTTGAATCCAGACCCAGGCTCCTGGAGGCAGTTGGGCGCAGCGTTCCTGAACAGCTGCCGCCAGCACTAGACGCGGCTGGACCAAGGCAGGTCTGCCCTTGGTTGGGAGGCAGGGCAGAGCTGGCTGCTGGCGGCCTCTCACCTGCGGCCTTCCTTTCTCTTTCCAGTGGCTGTGCAGCATCGTCGCCCTGCAGTGCAGCATCCTGAAACACTTATCTGCTAAGCAGGCGCCTTTTCCCTGGGACTCGGAGCAGGTGGAAAAGGTGGACGTGAAGCCGGTGCTGGCGGCCGGCGGGTCCCTCACCAGTCCGTACCAGGCAGCTGACAAGCCGAACGCCCCTCCCAATTGCCCAGCCTCTTGCACCTCTGGGCTCATCCCCCAGAACTCCTTGCAGGACGAGACCCCATACCCTTCCTGCGCGGACAGGCCCAAGAAAGCCTCCCCCTGTGGGACATCTAATGGCCTCAGCAGCACTGCAGAGGTGAAAATCAACGGCCCCAGTTTCTACGGCGATGTCTCCACGCCGGCCTCTCCCAGGCTGAGCGGGCAGGGCGGGGCAATCCCCGGGTTGTCTCATCGTCAGCAGCCCTGGCCCAGGCCCACCACCCCCCC